GTTGGGGGAGAGGGGGGGCGATTCGGTGATTCCATTGGCGTCTACTAGACTGTCAGGTTTCTTTGACTGACACCTCTTGGAGTAATGATGAAATAATAGACAGTATTTAGGCTTGGTCGAGTGTGTCTCCAGATAAGAAGAGTTCGTCAGCGTGCGGAGACAGATTTCAACATCAAGGAATTCTATCTCTTGCTCCTTTGGAAGTTTTCGAAAATAAAATAAAAAAAAAAAAATGTCTTGAAGGATAAGAAAAAGGAAAAAGAAAAGAAAGAAATAATTAGAAAAAATCAACAGAAAAAAAATAAAGAAAAATCTATATATATGAGTTTTTTTTACTGGAAAGTTCACATCCCAACTAACAAGAGATTGATCTACGGGGATCGTGGTTAAATTGTGGCCAGTGGGTCGCATGCGGCCAGTTTCGAATTCTAAATGGCACACCTATTCCATCGGCTTACGGCAACATCGCGTTGAAATATCAGTGCCGCATGATATATATATATATATATATATATATATATATATATATATATATATATATATATATATATATATATATATATGTGTGTGTGTGTGTGTGTGTGTGTGTGTGTTGTGAAATTGACAAAGTCCGACAATTATTTAAGACATTTTTTATGTTTATACGTTCTTTTATAGATACAAATGTTTAAGTAAAATAAACATAAAATATCTTAAATAATTGTCATACTTTGTCCATTTCATAATGTGTGACGTCATTTGTTTACATTTGGATAAGCATGAATTAGAGAAAATCATGAGGAATTGTGTTTAAAAACAGTAAAATCGACCTTGCTAACCAAACGCTCCTCTGTGGCCAAATCGGTTAAGGCACGTTAGGCTATATATGACGGTACCATATAGGATACAAGTTCTATTCCTGTCGGAGGACGCATGTTTTCTATGAAGATTTCTCAGACATTCAGGCTGGTAAATGTTATTAATACTGTTTATTATAAACAGAGTATTTGCGTAAATATTTGTATCTAT